TTTTTTTTTTTGGTTTTTCTCCGGTACCGGGAACCGAACTCACGACCTTGCACTTGCCAGGCAGGCGCTTTGCCGCTGAGCTAAATCCCCAGCCCACTATTTATTCTTTTTCAGCATTCAATTTAATAAACTGTGATTTCAACATTAAGTGATTTTTTTATTGATAAATTTCGAGTCTTCACTAGGACATGCACTAGGAATGAAACAACTGAAACACAGACCCTAAGTAATTCCCTACAAAAATACCATTTGCTTGTTATCTATCTATTATTACTGTATGTTGTTTTAGAATATTCAGAGTGACTACTAGGATCAAACATAGAAACATACTGGAATTCTTTTATAGTTACATTATTTAGTGGGCAATAATTTATTAATATTCTTTGAAATACACAGTCTTGGTAAACAGGAAAAAGGATGAAATTAAATCCCTTTCTTTTGTGGTTGCCTCGTGGAGGGCAGGGTCTGGACAGCAAACCCAGACTGGCCCAGATGTTGACGCTGGTGGTACCACACAGGCAGGAAGAGTAAGAAGACTTTCTATAGAATGCTTAAGATAGCACTAGACTCTGTGGAGGATACTGGGAAGCAAAAGTGTAGTTCTTACTCCCAGATATGTATAATCTATGGATACTGAGCTGATGTTCTGGTAGGCTGCCCTCTGGCCCTTCCCTTTCATGAACCACCTTTCCAACATTGCCAGGTAAACAGTTCTGTTTTAGGTACCACTGTGTGCATCTGCTCATTCTGTGCTTTCTACCACTTGTGTAGTAAGTTATTGTTTTGATCACTGTCCTTCATTCCTAATCACTGATTAGATGTTGAAGGGCGAAATAGCCCCTTTTACAAGTCCCTTAAAATAATCCTGCAACAAGCAGTGTTCTTTTAATCTAACACGTATACTGATCATGATGTTTTGTACACATTTGTTGGTAGGCTATGTATTATATATAAGGCATATTATCCTTAATACATATATGAGTTATACAGTTGAGTGTTCAGAGAAAATCTTTTCTTCTAGTTGCACAATTTCCTGGTGGAGTGAAGATGGCAGCTGTGTGCAGGGAGCAAGGACCAGGGACACCCGTGTGTTGTGTGTGTGCTGATTCTCTAGTGTGTGCTCTTCCTTAGCCTCTAGTATGTGTATTACAGTGAAATTGTGTGTGTGTGTGTGTGTGTGTGTGTGTGTGTGTGAGACAGAGAGAGGCAGAGACAGAGATGACAGAGAGAAGGCGAGAGAGAAATACTTGTTTTTCTTTATGGCATCATCTTATGTGCTTTTCTTGTTGCTGAGACAAAATACTCAACACCTAAAGTTAAAGTAGGGAAGGTTTATTTAGCTCACAGTTTGCAGAGATTTCAGTCCATAGTTGGCTGGCCCAAAGGCAAGGTGGTGTGGCAGAGAGACATCACAGAGGAGAAACAGTACCTGGAAAGAAGGCAGATGAGAGCATACCACCCCTCTTCCTGCCCCTTATATTTTTTGAAGGTTACCTGCCCTAGGGCAGGTGTAGCACTTACCCTGAGCCGGAACTGTGCCAAAGCAGTCAGTGGACTGATTTAGTCACCACACACCCTTAATCCCAGCACCACACACTCTAGATTGAGCCACCTCTGAAAAGCCCACCTACGACTGCATGAGGCTTTCGGGGTACATCTAGACACAAGCCATAACAGGCATTTTACTTTTACAGTTTCCAGGAGTGTATCAAAGTTAAGATGGGAACTTCCTGTAATGATAAATCAGGCAAATTTCCAAATAATTTCCTTTCAACTCTCTTCCTTTTTGGCTAGGTCTGTGCTAATTACCTACCTTCCATACCCTAAGTACCAGTTCTGTTATTACCGGAAAGATCACGTTTGGGCCTCAGTTTCCTCATGTACGAAAGAGGAGACAAGACTAGCTCACTAAGACAGCTGCCTCGGTTGTATGACAGCAAATGGAAATGATCTGTAAAGCTTTGGTGGTTCAGGGAATATTAAGGATGCATATGGAAAATAGTGCTTTTTGTAATGATGACAGTTAATAAGGTTTAATTGGTGCTCTTATTGTTTAAAGGATTATGCTTGAAACATTGCACACATATCCATCTTCTCATTTGACACTGCAGAGTAATTCCCTGGAAATTATAAATTATTTTGCTGCAGATATTACAACATGAACTTGAATTGAAAAAATGGAAAAGTAAGTCAGAATTGAAAATAACTGAGGAAACTGCAGAAGAACCTATTTATCTTAAGCAAAGTTCATCTGAAGTCCATCTTGCGGATGACACTACACAATGTGACATTTCACTATTACCTGAAAGAGCAATAGTACAGGTTTGTATGAATTTATTACATATTTTTAAATTAAAAGTTGTTATTAGTACATGTTTGCGGTATGTAGTGAAGACATTCATTCTGGGTAGTTGGAACGTATACATAACACATCTTAATTTTTTACACACTTGCCCTTCTTCCTCCCTTGTCAGTACTTCTTAGCCTCCTTCCCACTTGCCAAAGATCTATCTCCCTATTTCCTCATCTTTATCTTTTATTTTGCTCTTTGATTTATTCATACTTTAGGCTTCTCATATAAGAGAAACCATGCAATGTTTAAACCTGGGTGCCTGATTTATTTCACTTAACTTTATGATCTCAAGGTGCATCCATTTTCCTATAAATGACTCAAACTTATCTTCCTTTATAGCAGAGTAGTACTCCATTGTGTAGAAATGGCACATTTTCTTTATCCATTCATTTGCTAATGGACATATAGGTCACTTCCACAATTTAGCTTGCTATAGACATGAATATGTATGTATCACTGTAATACGCTGTCCAACTCTTTCTTGAAGATACCTACAAGGGAAATAACTGGGTCAAATGAAATTTCTGTTTTAAGCTTTTTGAGGAATCTCTATGCTGATTTCCATAGCTGTTCCAGTTACATTACCACCAGCAGTGTAGAAGGATTCCTATTTCCCTGCAGCTTTGCCAACATTTGTTATTATTTGACTTACTGATGATAGCCATTTTTTTCTGGAGTAAAATGGGATATCAGTGTTGTTTTAATTGAATTTCTCCAATTGCCAGTGATGTTGAATATTTTTTCATGTATGCACTGGCCATTTGTACTTCTTCTGCGAAGCATCTATTCATTTCAGTTGCCCATTGTTGGATTGGCTCTTTTAATCAGAGGAGTGTTTTTTATTTTTAGTTCTTTGTATATTTTATATCTTAATCCTCTGTCCAAGGTGTAGTTGGCAAAAAATTTTTCCCATTCAGTAGGTTGTCTCTTCACTCTGTTGGTTATTTCTTTTGTGGTGCCAAAGCTTTTTAGTTATATTTGATATAAACTCATCTGTTAATTCTTGGTATTAACAATTCCTGTGGAATTGGGGTTCTGTACAGAAAGTTCTTGCCTATACCTATGTCAGGAGTTTTATCTATTTATCTCCCAGTAGATTGTTTTTGTTTTAACATTTAGATCTTGATCTATTATGATTTTAGTTTTAGTACATGGTGAGAGATATGGGTCTAGAGTCAATCTTCTGCTTGTGCATAGCCAGTTTTCCCAGCACCGTTTATTAAAGAGGTGTTCCCTACTGCATGTTTTGGCCCCTTTGTCAAAGATCAGGTAGCTAAATCAGGAAGCTATTTCACCATCCTCTACTCTGTTCCACTGCTCCACATATCTGGTTTTAACAATACCAAACATACAGCAAACATAAACATTAAAACTCATTTTAATAATTTCACCCTTTTGTCAATACTCCTTATAGACCATACTGCACTGCTGTGTGCTTCATCCAGGATGTGTGTGTCAGGGGGATTAGAGAAGAAGGGTAAAGGGAAGAGCGTATATCAGTGGGAAGAGAAGGGAAGACAAATGTCAGTAGGTAAAAATAGATGGGAAATCAGACTCTGTTGGGGTTATTTTATAACTGGGTTAAAGGGCTGTTGTTGAGGAGGTTTGAGAAAGTATTTGTGTAGGTGGGAAGATGTATGTATGCCAATGGGTGGAGTGTATTTAGAGATCGAAGGAGGTTGTGATGTTTTGGTGCCTGTTAATATGTTTGCAAGTAACTGTGTTTGATCCTGTAAGCCCAGTTTTGTTAAGGGTTACCTGACATGCCCTTAAGTGGCATTCCTTGCTTCTGATTCTCTAATGAACTTTTACAGTTCCCTGTTATATTCATGTTGTTAGGTAGATGGAGAGTAGGTAGAGAAGACAAGGAGGCAATATAATGACCAGGGAAGCACAAAAATGATGTGGGGAGAAAGTCAAAAGATAGGAGCGAAGAAACACTAAAAGAAAAAGCAGGTCAAAGGAGAATCCTTGAAATTTAAAGTATAATAATCAGCCAATACCTATACAGAAAAAATCCCCCCAAAAAAGAAGAGAAAAAATGAAAATAGAAAGAAAACCAACCAAGATGACCCAAGTGCGACGAAATAGCAAGGTCACAATAACTACAGTTACCAAGATAATAATACAAATAAGAATTAAAAACCTTCGCATAGTTGTTTTGGCCTTAACCCAGAGCCCTCCCTGCACAGGCATCGCTGCCTGGTTTCGAGTAGCTATGCAGTTTTCCCCTGTGGGTGAGACCGTTGCCTGACGGTTGCCTGTCTGAGGGCTGCTGCTTGCTCCAAGCCCATGTCCTGGTTTCAGGCTCGAGGAGCCCCCCCACTGCAAACCTCTGTGGAGCCAATTACCTTGATTAACTGCCAAGTGGTTAAATATCGTAGGCATCTCTGTGCCCTACCTCCTCAGGTTTTCCTTGCCTCTCATATGGCACGGGTCCAGGCGCTGTTTAGTGCCTCTCTGACCACAGATGTCTGTGTCAGCAGAACCAGTTTTCCCTTCCTTCTGTTCTGAGCTGGTAGTTGTTCCCTCTCCCACTGGAGCCTACTGATAGTCATAGGAATGATGCTGAATATTCCATGTACAGCATTCCCACTGTATGTGGGAGGAGTAGCCTGCCTCTGCTGCTGCTGCTGCTATATCGATGGTGATGATGGGATTATGGTGATGATGATGATGATTGGCTGCACTGGAGAAACCTCCTTTCTCCCTGGTGTCCCACCACCTGCTGGCACTAGAGTTTTGCCCGCTGGCCCTGCAAGAGAGTACGAGGGTGCATGACAATTACATTCTATGGGACTTCTGTTTTCAGCTTTGAGTACTCCAGTTGGAAATGTTTCACTTCACTGCATCCAGTGGGAGGATAGTGATGCTGTGTGTCACCGTGCCAGGCTGTCACTGAAGGGCTGGCTTGTCCCTCCCTTGGTCTTATTCTTTCCCAAGATGGTGCGTATGTTGGGTCTAGGGTGGGAAGTTGGGTACCGTGATCTAGGAGTAGACCGGTTTCCCCTGTCCCACCCTCTAGACACTGGATTTTAATCCAGCTGGTTTATCTTTTAATTTATGCTCCAGTATCATACTTTATCTTTCACCCCATCTCAGGGTAACTGCTTTTCTTCAACGTCTATCTGGAGACACTCACTACAGCTGTTGCTCCCTGGTCAGCCATTATGGAGCTCCTAATTCTTGTACATATATAAGCTTACCATATATGTATAAGTTGGAGTTAGGATAAGTATATTTTGCTCCTTGTTTCCTACTTTACAAATTACCTGCTCCTCTCTTGACTTTTTTCCCAATTTTAATTCCCAAGATTTTTATATTGGTCTGTAATAGCTCTTTGTATACTGGAAATATTAGTGCTTTGTCTGGAATATATTTGGAGATTTTTTTACCCATTTCTGAGGTTTTCATTTTTTGTCTGTAGAGTCTTTTGATAACAGAAAATGTAAAGTTTAAGGTAATAAAGTCATTGCTCTTGCCCTAATTATTTCTCTTTTTAGTTGTTAGTTGTTTTTCTCAGCCATATCATATTCTTTTTTATGGTTCTTCAGTTTTTTTCTGTGAATTTGCATGTTTTTTGACATGAAAGTTTGTGTATTTCTTTATTTCATCAGTAATTGTTCTAGTGTTTACATTGTACATTTTAAAAATATCATGGATTACCTTAAAATAATATTGTGCTACTTTACGTGTAATGTAAAAACCTAAAAACAGTATAATACTCTTCTCCCCTTCTGTGTCTTTTTGATATTATTATCATATACTTTGTTTCTATGTATTTATAAATTCTACTATATAATTTATTATATTTGACTTAAACAATTATCTTTTATCCAGAACATTAAATTTTTTTTTTTTTTTTTTTTTTTACATGTAATATGGGCCGGTTTCTTCTCGAGAGCAGCCCATTATTTTCCTGGGGTTTCCACTCCCTCAAGAGAAGCACAAGTGTTTCCCATTACAGAAACTTTTCTGGCTCTCTTTCTTGGGGGCCCAAGATACACTTCTTTGAATGTGTGCCTTTTAATTTCTGCCTAATAAACCCTTCCTGTGCCTCTTAAAAATTTTTTTTAAAAATAAAAATTTAATAGCCTTAGACTTATGGAAAATTTGCAAGTATGGTACAAATAATTTTTTCCTGAAAAATCTGAGAATAATTTGCCAATGTGATGCCTTGTCATACTTGTATATTATTGGTATAAACAGGGGCTTTCTTTCTCAACATCAGTCATCAAGATCCTCAGACTCAATTCAGGTTTCTTCAGACCACATTGTTGTCATGACTTTTGGTCTCCTTTACTCTGGAACAGTTCCTCAGTCTTTAATTTTCATGACCTTGTAAGGAAGATTAGACAAGTTTTATTGTAGGCTATCGTCAATTTTAGCTTGTTTTACTAATCTTCTTCTACTAATGTTCATCTACTGACCTTCATTAGTAGATTATTCATGTTATGAATTTTTATTAAAGCACACAGACATTATTCTTTTGTGTTCTCATTGCATCCTCAGGGGCACAGGATTTGGAGTTGGCAGATGTCCTCTTTTTGGACTCTACTTGCCTCACACTCTAAGGCCCTCCAGTAAGCTACATTTCCTCAGTTTGCCTTTATTTTCCTTCTCTGGGCTCTGACATTCCACTTTGGGCTACTCCTCCTTGAGGACCACCTTCTTACCCTCTTTGGGCTCCAAAATTCTGTACCACTCCTTTGATTTTTTTTTTGTTGTTGTTTGTTTGTACCACTCCTTTGAATATATACTCTCCTTTCCACACTTGATCTGCTGCTCTGTCCTAAGTCTTTTCTTCTGTGCCACTTACCTTGGCATGGGTGGTGTGTTAGTCAGTTTTCTGGTACTGTAACAAAATACCTAAGAAAATCCACTTAAAGGAGGAAAAGTGTATTTTGACTCATGGGTTTTAGAGGCTTCAGTCCATGGTTAACTGGCTCCAGTGCTTTGAGGTTTGTGG